AGAGAAAAGGAGGGGGGGCTATATATATATATATTATATATATATATATATATATATATATATATATATATATAGAGAGAGAGAGAGAGAGAGAGAGAAAGAAAGAGAGATACAGAGCGAGAGAGAGAGGTTGAATGGCAAAATTGAAATATGGGTCAAATTGCGGCCGCGATTTATTTTGCAGTTGGAATGATTTTTTTAAATTTATTTAGCGTTTTTCTTGGAAAGATCACAACAAAATCTACGAGTACTCAAATTTTCAGGTTTTTCCACACATTCTTCTGAGAGTGAAAACTCACTGAATTTGGAGTACTTTTTCAGTTGGCCCACACATGGCTGAGTGGCAAAAATGGAAAATGTGCCCAATTGGCGTGACAGTTATTTCTCGGTCTAAATGACCTTTTAAAATCGTTCTAATATTTTTCCTAGAAAGAACACGACCTCATATATGGATTCTCAAAATTTCATATTTTTCTACGGGTTCCTCCGAGCACAGAAAATCGCCAAACGTGCCGCTTGCAAAATGCCTGTTTCGTTGCGCCTTACCTCCCTGTTTAGAGAAGACGGGCCTCAACGCTTGGGCCTGAGGGCCCTTACCCCACCCCCACTTCTTTTTGGGGTCCACTTCCACCCGAGGACCGCTCCTTGCTTTTTTCAAAAGTCCCGGTCATTCCAGAGCTGCCTGTAGGTAGTCCCCAATTTTGCCAAGGACCGGTTCCCCCCAAACTTTTGTCCCCTAGAAACCCACTTTGCGTCCGGGTCGCCCGCCACCGAAAATGCGACACCTTGACGCAGACGCCGAAAGCCCACTATACCGTAGCCTTAGGGCTGCGAATTTGTGTGAAGGTAGCAAATTTTGGCGGTGGACAACCACTGTAGAAAAGGGCATATAGAGGTCCAAAATTCAGTATTGATCTACCGTGGGCGCGAGGAGCGCAACCCTAAGGGATTGTGTTTGTTTGTTTTTCTGTTTTTTGTGTTCACAGCCCATCAGGGGTACGTTTCCCCCCCCTGAGACATTTTTGTCGTCCTTCGTTATACCGGTCGTTGATTCGGGCTCGTTTGGTTGTTGGAAGGTTCGAAAAATGCAGGCAGGTGCAGGCATGACACTTTGGGGGGGGGTGGCAGTTTCTTTGAAAAATGCGGGACCAGGTAGCTGCCCGTGGGACCGCGCACTAGGTTTGGTCGAAACGGTGGCAAAGCAGTGACAGGGTGGAACTTTGGGGGGGGTGGCAATTCTTTGAAAAATGCAGAACCCGTAACTGCCCGTAGGACCATGCACCGGGTTTTGGTCGGAACAGTGGCAAAGCAGCGACATGGTGGAAAAGTGAAAAAGTCTGAAATCGGAAAGGACGCGGTTTTGGCCGCAGGTTGAAATGATACGATGCATTGCATTTGCAAATGCATACTTCTAAACCTCACCAATAACACCTCATTTACCAATCAAGCATATACAAACTACGGGCTTCGCACCCGTGCCCTCACGGTAAGTCAATGTGTATATGTGTGTAAGAAAAAGAGAGAGAAAAAAAAACAAGACGGAGGGCATTTCCTTTTTGCTTTACTGTTGGGTATTATGAGTGTATTAGGTTATGGATTTATGAATGCATTTCTTTTCTTTTTATTGTGAAAGATTTTAAAACCTTTAGAGAGAGATAGAAGACAGAGAAATAAAGAAAGATAAAAAAAAAAGAGAGAGAGAGAGAGAGAGAGAGAGAGAGAGAGAGAGAATGTGTGTGTGTGTGTGTGTGTG